ATGGACTGTAGCCTGCCAGGCTCCTCTGTCCATGGAATTCTCCAAGCAAGAATGCTGGAGTGGGTTGTTATTCCCTTCTTCCAGGGATCCTCCTGACCCAGGGATTGAACCTGTGTCTCCTGCATTGCAGGTGAATTCTTTACTGCCTGAGCCACCAGGGAAGCCCCTCTTTGTAGCATAGCACCAGGCTTCCAAGGAGGTACAAGAAGAAGCTGCCAGATTCCTGAAGGGTCAGGCCCAGATCTGGGTAGCAGGCCTCCCACCACGTCCTACTAGTCCAGACAAATCACAGGCCTGCCTGGACTCACAGGGTGTACAGACGTTTCTAGCTCCTAATGGGAAGAGTGGCTGTTGGGGACAGGAATAGGTAGAATTATTGGCAGCCATATTTTTGGATGAAGTACCTCATAGGTAGTTAGAGTAAAACATATTCCTCCATGTATTATTCCAGCAGTGTTTCTTAAATGTTTCCATATTCATACACACTTCAAATGTTCCATTGTTTTGGTCCAAATTTCTTCACTGAGCTAAACCATGTAACTAGGCACCTATTCTGGTTTTTCATTTCTTAATGTTTTCCTTCTGATCTGTGGATTGGTTATGTAAACAAACAAAAACACACAGTAAAGTTCCACTGCAGTAAATGCTATGCAGAAACTCAATTGTGTAAGCCCTCGTGTTGTGTTACCATGAAGTTAATTAAAGACAGTGTTTTATCAGTAGGTGGTAGTGTCATAAAATGATAGATTATGAAACCTCCTCTGTGCACAACTGACTCTACACTGAAGGTTCCAGATGACCCTGAGGCAGTCACTTATTCTCATACACAAACACGCATGCACATACTCACACACGACTTGAGAATTTCATCCCAACCCAGTCTGAGAACAGTGCTAAGTAGCCTGGAAAGAGATCAGCAGCCAAACCAATCATGCCACAGCCAAGTTCACTTTATTATGATGCATATGATATTTTAATCATATCTTTGTCTTTTCAGAGGGCTTCCCTTGTGGCTCAGCTGGTAAAGAATCCACCTGCAGTGCAGGAGACCCTGGTTTGATTCATGGGTTAGGAAGATTCCCCTGGAGAAGGGAAAGGCTACTCACTGCAGTATTCTGGCCTAGAGAATTCCATGGACTGTATAGTCCATGGGGTTGCAAAGAGTCGGACATAACTGAGCGACTTTCACTTTTCACACCAGTGGGTCTGTACTCTTCATCCTCAAGTCCTCCCTACGTGTTTAGTGTGTCTAGTTCCACGAGGACAGACACAAGGGAGATTGAGTCTGGCTCCTGTGGGTGGCAGGGAGGAGTGTTCTTGAAAAGAGTGTATTTTAAGGAAGCCTCAGGAGTGCCGGAGTGGAGTTAGGTTGTGGGTGCTTTGCCAGGGGACACATAGAAGGGGCAGCTCCCCCAGCAATCTGATTGGAAGTGACTCTTGAGAGGCAGGTAGTAGCTGGGCAGGAGAAACATTGGATGTAAAAAGAGAGAAGGAGGGACTTCCAATGCAGGAAACGCAGATTCAATCCCTGGTCAGGGAACTAAGATCCCACACACCACAGGGCTACTAAGCCCGCCTGCCACAACTACTACAAAAACCACAACTAGAGAGAAGCCCAAACACCGCGACAAAGAGCCTGCCAGGGGCAACTGAGACCCAACGCAGCAAAAATAAATACATATAATTTTTTAAATGAATAATTATTTAAAAGAAAGAGAGGAGAGAGCATTCCAGGCAGAAGAAACAGCCTAAGCAAAGGTAGCTGGGATAAAAATAGCTCCTGGATGGGGCTGGGCAGGTGGTTCAGGTTTTTTGGAGCTTAGGCAGAAAGGGTAGGCAGGCACTAGAGTGTGGTGGGCCTCCTAAGCCAAGCTACTGGGACTCAAGCAGTGGAGGGCTGTGGCCAGGTTTATACGTTAGTTATCTCTCCACTGGTCAGGGGATGCCAGAGTCAGCGGGAACAAGACTAGTGGCTAAGAGGCCACTTGAGGGGGGCAGATGCCAAGATTCAGAGGTGCTGACAGGACCTTGAATCTGGAGCATGGCCTCTCAGGGTCATCACATGTGTCATGATTATACCGGAAATCTGTGACTGGCCAAATGGAAATTTTATTCTTTTGTCATCTTCTCTAAGATTACATTGTATTCCAAACAGGATCAGAAAATAAGTAGATGAAATTTAACCCATTCTTCTGACATTTTTAACCTCAGAACATTTCCATTTTTAATTTACGTTATAAACAAAATTTTCTCCCAACTTTTCCTCCAGGAGCGATTGGAAGTTTAGTTTCTTGGACCACTCCCCTACCCCTATGCACAATTTATTGTCCAATTTAGTAGTCTGACGGTCATCCTCATCATTTTTCAACAAGGTTTTTGTTGTTTAGTTGCTTAGCCGTTGTGTCTGACTATTTAGCAACCCCCATGAACTGTAGCCTGCCAGTCTCCTCTGTCCACGGGATTTCCCAGGCAAGAATACTGGAATGGGTTGCCATTTCCTACTTCAGGGGATCTTCCCAATCCAGGGATTGAACCCAGGTCTCCTGCATTGCAGGTGGATGCTTTACCACCGAGTCGCCTGGGAAGCCCCTAAGTAGTCTGAAACCCTCCATAAATTCTGTTATCTAAATCTTGTCTAGTATTCATAAACACCGCGACAAAGAGCCTGCCAGGGGCAACTGAGACCCAACGCAGCAAAAATAAATACATATAATTTTTTAAATGAATAATTATTTAAAAGAAAGAGAGGAGAGAGCATTCCAGGCAGAAGAAACAGCCTAAGCAAAGGTAGCTGGGATAAAAATAGCTCCTGGATGGGGCTGGGCAGGTGGTTCAGGTTTTTTGGAGCTTAGGCAGAAAGGGTAGGCAGGCACTAGAGTGTGGTGGGCCTCCTAAGCCAAGCTACTGGGACTCAAGCAGTGGAGGGCTGTGGCCAGGTTTATACGTTAGTTATCTCTCCACTGGTCAGGGGATGCCAGAGTCAGCGGGAACAAGACTAGTGGCTAAGAGGCCACTTGAGGGGGGCAGATGCCAAGATTCAGAGGTGCTGACAGGACCTTGAATCTGGAGCATGGCCTCTCAGGGTCATCACATGTGTCATGATTATACCGGAAATCTGTGACTGGCCAAATGGAAATTTTATTCTTTTGTCATCTTCTCTAAGATTACATTGTATTCCAAACAGGATCAGAAAATAAGTAGATGAAATTTAACCCATTCTTCTGACATTTTTAACCTCAGAACATTTCCATTTTTAATTTACGTTATAAACAAAATTTTCTCCCAACTTTTCCTCCAGGAGCGATTGGAAGTTTAGTTTCTTGGACCACTCCCCTACCCCTATGCACAATTTATTGTCCAATTTAGTAGTCTGACGGTCATCCTCATCATTTTTCAACAAGGTTTTTGTTGTTTAGTTGCTTAGCCGTTGTGTCTGACTATTTAGCAACCCCCATGAACTGTAGCCTGCCAGTCTCCTCTGTCCACGGGATTTCCCAGGCAAGAATACTGGAATGGGTTGCCATTTCCTACTTCAGGGGATCTTCCCAATCCAGGGATTGAACCCAGGTCTCCTGCATTGCAGGTGGATGCTTTACCACCGAGTCGCCTGGGAAGCCCCTAAGTAGTCTGAAACCCTCCATAAATTCTGTTATCTAAATCTTGTCTAGTATTCATCTGTTCAACTGGCATTATTTTTATAGGCTTGCTTTCTGTTGCTGTCATAATCCACTCATCTCATAAATGCTTTTGCCTGCTTTCCAAAGGCCATGGTCTCTGCACTGAGATTTGCACCTGTGGTGTGACATTGGCAAGTGACTTCATGTCCTTAGGTTTTAAAATACTCTTCCTTGTCCTCCCTGCCCCCACAGAAGAAGCATGTCTGGGAACTGGCTTGCTTAAGGTGATAACTTCCCTTCTCTTTAACCTTGTGATGAATTAACAGAGTTAATGAATTACCAGGAAAAAATAAGAGCAAATCTGGTTTAAGGAGAGGATCTAGGATCATCTGGTCTGATAGAAAAGATAGTCTCGAATCAGCAAACAAACACATTAAGGTAAATTCTTAACAAAGTGTTCACCACTGTGATACGCTACAGAGATGAAGAGTTGACGTCAGTACCAAATCCTGCTTGACCATCAAGCTGGGGCTCAAAGCCAAAGAAGAGAAACAGCAGTTTCAGGAGATGGGATCATCTGGCAAACTGTGATTGTGAACTGTAATCATTTCTTAATTGTAACTTGGAGCACCTTGTTTTTCCCAGTAATTAACTAGTTTGTGATTTTTGCACTTCCTTCTGACGACCAGAGTCACTGTGTTTTCACGAAGGACAGTTGTTAGGGTGGTGTCGTGCCTTGCTTGTGCTAACAAGACTTTATCCTTCATTAATCCAACAAATATTTACATTGCTCTGCCCTTACAGCACATTCTCCGGAGCATACAATGCTGCCCCCCCAACACACACAGACACACACAAGGCACTCGACAGACTCTCAGGAGCTTTTCAGCCCTTCCCAGTTTAACAAAGGCAGCAGGTTTGTGTTCATGGGGTCACCCCTGCAGCTGTGGCTGCCTTATTAGAGGAAGGCAAAGAAGTGAGCATTTAGTGTGCGTAGGCGCCTGCTAGCTATTTTATATACGTTAGCTCATTTGATAATGAGGCTAACCCTGTCAAGTAGCATGTGTTCAAAATGTACTAGTTGCTTTCTTTCTGTTCTACATTATGGAAATAACCCATGTTGAATTAATTAACACCTTCAATTTGAAATCCTGTCTATATAAGCATGTCCTGGTTGATTTCTAAAGCTCATCTGATGCATCGGTGGGGAAAGGAGTAAATCATGGCCTGGATGTAAGGTTGAAAAAAATATCCTATTTGTGCTTAGTGGACGGAATTTGTCAGGGGAAAATAAAAAGGTTGAAAAGCTTTTGTTCCAAGAGTTTTTTAGAGCGTAATTCCAAGAGTGTGGGAAAATTGACCTCTCCTCTCCTTCTTTCTCAGATATATCCCACCATTGATCTGGGGGAAAAGTGGACACATCCAAACAGCCTTGTATGGGAAGATGGGAAGGGTGAGGTCGCCACACCCGTATGGGCACCGGAAGTTCATCACCATGTCTGATGGAGCCACTTCGACCTTTGACCTCTTCGAGCCCTTGGCTGAGCACTGTGTGGGAGGTGAGCTAGTTCAGGTTGTGGGATTGGGCCAGCACTCAGGGAGAGAGCATTAATCCCTGAGGGAGCTCGGTATAAATGCTCAAACCACTGACTGTCACCATCGCATCCAGGGGGGCCCACAGGACATCAGCTGAGGTGCATCACTTAGCTACCACCTGCAAGGACTGGCTCCAGCATGTGCTGGCCGAGTGCCTTGTAGGGCTCTGCAGAGAGCATTGTTGAATACGGTTTTTTACTCCTCTTGTGAAATAGAAAGGTTTGTGTAAGAACCTGGAGCCCAGTATCAGATCTCTGGTTTGATGACGGCAACAGAAGCTGGACTAGTCTAAGTGTTTCATATATACTATCATCTCATTTAATCTTCGCAACCACCCTGAAAAATCAGTGCCTTATTATCCCTACTTTACTGATGAGGAAACCAAAGCTTATAGATGCAGTGTAGCTAGTCTTCTTTGTTGGACAACAGGAGGTAACAAAGGCTCTCAGGTACCCTCTGCTTAGGTTTTCAGGGGTCTGGGACACCTATTTCTCAGAAACCACAGTTTCTATTGCTGATAAAACTCTCATTGTTCTGTCCAGGATGCACAATAAACAGGCATTAAAAAGCTTCACAATGAGGACTTTTGAGGAAGTGGAGTTAGATGGCAGCATCCTCTGAATGTTGTTTCTACCAGAAGAGAACATGTATTTTGATTTCTATAGTATTCAAAGTCACCTGTTTTTTTTTTTTTTTAATAGGAGCTCAGTAAATATTTAGGGGTGAATTCCAGTAAGTATATTATTATAGCTCTCAGTTATTTAAAGCACTTAGAACTGCTGAGTAGCTAGTGACAACGTAGCTTATGTTCCCTCTGTCAGGAATGCTTGTCCCAGACTTTCACATGACTTAGCTCTGAGCGCCAGTGTCACCTCCTCGTAGGGATGGTCCCCTGATCCTTCCCAGGAAATCCATCACACCTTCCTGCTCAGGTTCTTCATAGTACCTGCCACTCTCTAAACTTATTTGTGTGGTTGTTTATTATCTGTCTGCTAGAATGTTGGAATCCTCCAGAGTCCAATAAACAGTCACAGAAGGAATGAATAAATGAATAAGTTGGGAGTTCACAGTGTGTTTATAGTCTTGTAGCTGATCTTTCAAATATTTACCTCTCTACCAAACCCAGTTAAATATTTTTTTTCCCTTGCATCTAATGCTCTTCTTCTCCTATTGAAGCACAAAATTTAACCAGTCTACTCTTCTAGGGTGGAGGTGGAAAGTTGAAAAAGACAAATCTTTCATTCTTTTTTTTTTTCCAACTTGTCTCTGTCTTTCTATCACCCCTATGCCCAGAAAGAATTGATGAAGATAGTTCTGGAAAGCAGTATTTGCATCCAAGAAATACTTTAAGGAAAGAAGCCCTTTTTTCTCCTTTTTTTGATTTTTTTCTGACAACAAAAGGAATAAATACTCACTTTAAAAAATGTACATAAAAAAATGTAAATAACATAGAAACTTTTTTTTTTAAAAGAGAAAATAATCATCAATAATCCTACACCCTGCATACCACTGTTAACATTTTGTTCCATTTACCTTCAGTTCTGTGTAAAATAGAACTGAAAAATTTCAATTACTACACATTATAAGTATATTCCCATATCATTAAAAGTCTAAAATGTCCTTAACAAAAGTTTAATGATTGCTTAATAGTCTACTATGTGGTCATGACATAATTTAATCATTCAATTTTTGAACATTTAACTTGCTTATAATTTTGTTATTCTTAAGTAATTCTTTGATAAGCATACTTATTCATAAAATTTAAGGCAGGATTCCAAAAATTGGAATTTCAAGGTTTATTAAAAATTTTAATGTTCTTCATACAGTATTGCATAACAATTTAAAAATTATTTGTCTCAACTTTTAGATGAAAAATTTATGATTAATTTAATAACCTAAATACCACTTTTCTTTTAAAGAAAAATGCATTCATATTTTCAAGTAGGTAGTTCATACTCATGGTAGAAAATTCAAAAGTTACTAAAGGACATACAGTAAAAGTGTAAGTTTCTCTCCCACCCTTACACCCCAGTGGTACCAACTGTTAGGACTCATGTATATGATTCCAGAGCTAGTGGATGCATTTATAAATATAGATGTCTTCCCCCACCCAAAAATGATAACATATCATAGCCTTTTTTTGCATCTTGCTCTTTTCCACTTAATACCTATTGGAGAGCTTACCTTAGGAGTGTACATAAAGATGTCTCATTATTTTTAAGGACTGCATAATATTTCTTCATTTGGATATGCAAAAACTTATTTAACCAGACCCCTGTTTCTGGACATGTACATTATGTTCAGATTTTTGCCATTACTGCAGATGTATTGCTTTGTGTATGTACCATATATTTGTAGAATTAATACCTGAAAGTAAAATTGCTGGATCAAAGAAGTCTGTGCAACACAGCTTTTTTATTTTTCTGTTCATTGATTCATTCATACAGAATTTCATGTAGAAATTCAGAGTGATGCTCAGAAATTTGTATGGCAGTTTGACAGAGTAGTTTTATATCTGTTGAATCTAGTAATAAAAAATTGAGATTTGTATTTCTTCATTTTATTTTTCTAGTAATTAATTTTTACTGTATTTTATTTTTCAAAAGCATCTGCCCATATGGATTGGAACTTTTTAAAAACTGACCCTTCACCATAAATAATTTGAGAAGCACTGACATAGACAGTTCCAGCTAGAAGGGAAAGTTACTCTGTCTCAGAAAGTAGAGTGAAAAGATGAATGTTAAATTCTCTCCTACTGTTTTCTAAGCCAGTGAAGTATAATTGTGTCCATTTACCACGTCAGTATTTATTGGCTATCTCAGAATCTCCTTCTCCACCCTACAGATGACATCACCATGGTCATCTGCCCTGGAATTGCCAATCACAGCGAGAAGCAGTACATCCGCACCTTTGTCGACTATGCCCAGAAAAATGGCTATCGGTGCGCTGTGCTGAACCACCTGGGCGCCTTACCCAACATTGAACTGACCTCGCCACGCATGTTCACCTACGGTAAGCTGGGGCCACGGCCAAGCGGAGTCCCCCGCAACCTTTTTTTTTTTCCTGTTCCCACTGCAATTGTGCTGCCACGTCTGCGTCTGCCTTACTTTTCTGAGTTTAGAGTTTGTGCCCATGTGCACCAGCTGGTGAGGCACACAGTTGTAACAGCAGGGCATTTAGGAAGCTCTGCCTCCCAGCAGCAGCTCGGTGGGGCCCTGGAGCCACCCTCCTCTCGTGCCATCTCAGGGGCAGGAGCTAAAACTCTCAGGGGAGGGTCTTGCACAGCGCCCCCTGCTGGTAAGGTAATGCCCTTCACTCATTCCTCAGGATCGTGACTGGCAGGCAAGCGTTGTGGTGAGGCTGGTGGATGCCAGGGGGAAGGGAATCTGGTACCTTAACAACCCAGTGGCTTTCAGGCTGCTTGAGGACAGAAATTGAATCTCATATTTAGACACATGCTTCTTGACTTTAGTTGAAGTCCTGTATTAGGTAAGGCTCTGTTCTGGACTGCTCCTTCTTGAATCTTATTTAACTCTCCCTTCAGATTAACTGTGAACACTCATAAATAATAAACACTTAACATATGTGTCTGTATATATGTACCAACCTGTGGGGTGTTCATAAGTAAATCAATTATAATGTGTTTTCATGGGAAACAAATGAAAATTATATCTATAATCTCACCATAACTTTCTATTTCTTCATCCTCCCATTCTTTGATCTATGTGTACAGTTTTTGAGTGCAGTCATAGTGTATATCTACGGTGACTTAATTTAAATAATTTTATATTCACTAACATAAAGATGCATAGTCATTTAATCTTTTTAAGGAGCCACCTTGCTGTGATTACCCTGTTATAGTTTATTTAACCATTCCTCTTTGTAGTCATTTAGGTTATTTAAAGTTTTTCAGCATTTTAAATAATTAGGCTATGAATATTTTTACATAGAATCTTTTTCTTCTCTTTAATGACTTCTTGGGAGTAAATTTCCAGGAGTAGAATTTTTAGAGTCAGCATTTCTTATGCATGTTTATACATATTGTCAGATTGTCCTCCAGCAGGGTTGTTTCAGTTTATTCTGCCCTTGGTGGCATGTAAGGGCAGGTAGGGAAGCGTGAGCGGGTTCACCTGCTCTGTGCCTGGCTGGGGGGCTCCCCATCCCACTCCTCCTCGGTATGCACTCCCACCTAAAGACACCCATTTTACAGACTCTCTTCTGTACAACAGTTTGTTTAGTGGCTTGAAGATATAGGTGAAACCCCAAATTTACACATAAGACAGGAACATGGGACCCTGATGCTGGGAGAGATTGAGGGCAGGAGCAGAAGAGGGGGTGACAGAGGATGAGATGGCTGCATCACTGACTCAAGGAACATGAGCAAACTCCAGGAGATAGCGAAGGACAGGGAAACCTGCAGTGCTGTAGATCATGGGGACACGACTTAGCAACTGAACAACAGGCACATGGGGAATAGTGAGTAAGTGGGAGACAGGTTTGGGTCCAAAAGACAGAAACAGCATCTAACAAAAATGAAAATAATGGGGAATGATGATAAGGTCTGGGACTTCCCTGGTGGTCCAGTGGTTAATACTTCACCTTCCAATACAGGGGGCACAGTTTCTATCCCTGGTCACAGAACCAAGATCCTACATGCCTTGCAGCCAAAAAGCCAAAACATAAAACAGAAACAGTATTATAACAAATTCAATAAAGACTTTAAAACTGGACCACATCAAAAAAAAAAAAAAGGCCCTGTACTTGGATATACAAATTCATCTTCACCAGTAGAGAATGGGGAGATATGGCTTGCTTGGCCACAGGATCTGGGATGGGATCATGAAGTACTAAAAGCTTGACATGCCAACAAGACAAGAAATACCAGCGAGAACACTGATCACGTGCCCGACACAGGGAAACATCCTTTTCCCATGGACAGAATCCCTCCCACCTCTGCAGCAGCCCTTGAGGCGGTTAGTAAAATTGTGATGCAAAGACTGAAGCACAGAGAGGCTAGGTAATTCAGGCAGAGAGACAGAGCCAGTAAGCAAAACAGGCAAGATGAGAGCCTGGATCTGCCGCCCCAGCCTCCAGAATCCTTGGAGAGGAGCTGGGTATGTGTGGTCCAGGTCCCTGCCCCACAGCGTGCTGAGCCATAGAGACAGGAGATTAGATTAGGGGGCATTCACACCCAAGTCCGGAAGTCTAGTGGCCACAGGGGAAGAGAAGAGTTGCTCAGTGTGGGATGTGGTCGCCGAGCGGCCACCCTGGCCCTGCCACTGGCTGGCCGAGTGTCCTTGAGTTTGCTTAACCTCAATTCCAGGTTCTTCACTGGCAAAGTGAAGATTACAATTTTACAATTAAATGTGGGTTACTAAGGACTTAGCCGGCAATTGAGTGCCTAACATACAGTAACAGCTTATTAAATGTTCGACTTACTCAGATACTTGAAGATCCATTAATGCTAGTGAGAGATTAGGAGTGCTTTGTGTGGCCAAGATAAATAAGTTCTCCAGGGGCAGATGGGAATATCAATAATAATTACAGTACAGTATGATGAGTGAACCTGTAGAGAGGGTCTGGTGGGCACACCACCGCAGTGTGGGGAAACCAGCCTCTTTCTCTGTAGGCAAGGAGCCATTCGTGGAAGGAAGTGTTCTCCCAGAAAAAAGCATTTGAACTGGCTCCTCAAGATGAGGATGGGGGATTTCCCTGTGGTCCAGTGGTTAAGACTCCGTGCTCCCAATGCAGGGGGCCCAGGTTCAATCCCTGGTCAGGGAACTGGATCCCACATTCAGCAATTAAAGACCTGACACAGCCAAATAGATAAATATTTTTTTAAAAAGTGGTGAGGATGGTTGGAGCTCATATATGGGGGAAGAGCTGTAGGGGAAACAGCAGTGCAGCTGCTTTTAAGAGCGTGACACATCGAGGCTGGCCATCAGAAGGGAAGAGCCGTGGGATTAGATGAGGCCATGTAGGGCCAACTCAGCCCCCACACTTTTCATAGTAATTTAGCTATTTCCTTCTTTGTTGTTGTCACCTTTTGCTTCATCAGAATTTTAGAAGTAAATTCCTATAGTGTGTTATATTTTAGTAGTATTTCAGAAGGACAGGTGACCTAAAAGATATGGATGATTTTTCTAGCTGTGCTATTTAGTTCTTTTGTTTATCAGTACATCTTTGACCTGTTCAGATGCATTGTTTAACCATCAGTTAATAAGGTCCAACAAATGTGACCTTAGGTCAGAAATCCAAAACTCCAGTGCTTTGTTGAAATCCAAACAAAAACATCTTTGGTAGCTTTGAGAAAGTATTAGTGTTTCCATAAGCACTGTTCATTCCAGGAGATAGTGGAGGACAAGAGGCCTAGAGTGCTGCACCCCATGGGGTGGCAAAGTATCAGACACAACTTAGCAACTGAACGACAAAGTGCTATTGATATGACTTTAGCTTTTCTCTGGTGCCTCAGATGGCGAAGAATCTGCCTGCAATGGAGGAGATCCAGGTTTGGTCCCTGGGTGGGGAAAATCCCCTAGAGAGGGGAATGGCAAAACCCTTCTCCAGTATTCTTGCCTAGAGAATTCCATGAACAGAGCCTGGTGGTCTACAGTCCATGCAGTCGCATAGAGTTGGACACGAATGAGCAGGGAGTCTTAACCACTGGACCACCAGGAAAATCCGTCTACACCTAATATTATTCATTTTTAATTACTGTTGCTCTGTGATATCACTTAATTTCTGATAAGATTCACCCTGACTCATCACTTCTTCAGTGTGTGCTTTAGACTTTCCTGCTTGTTTCTTTTTTTCCATTGAACTTTAGAATTATTTTCTCAAGTTCTGTGTTGAATTTCTTTACCAGTCAAGACGGACTAGATTATGCTGTGGAAACAACCCCCAAATCTCAATGGTTTAAAAACAAAGATTTATTTCTTCCTCAGACAGCAAATCCGTCCTGGGTTGGCTGAGGGGTTCTGTGTCCCATCCCAGTCCTCTCTCAAGGACCCAGGTTCACCGAGCAGCTTCCAGCCAGAGTGGTACCCATAGAAGTCACAGCTGATTGGCCAAGGCATATCACGTGGTCAAGCCTAACTTCACTTGGGTGGGGGAGGTGCGTTCTTCCCAGAGAGGGAAGGTAGATTTTGGTGAATTCTAGCACACTGTCTATCACAATTTTTTTTTGAAAAAAGGCTTTCTGATATGGACCACTTTTTAAAGTCTTTCTTGAATTTGTTACAATATTGCTTCTGTTTTCTGTTTTGTTTTTTTGGCTGTGAGGCACGTGGGATCCCAGCTCCCCGACCAGGGATCGAACCCACACCCCCTGCCCTGGAAGCGTGGAGTTTTAACCGCTGGACCACCAGGGAAGCCCCTGTATCACAGTTTTGGAATAGGAATTTTATTGTATAAGTTAACTTAGAGAAGTTTGTTTTCATAGTACTTTCTTACCCAGGCGTACGGAACTTCCCTTGAAGTCTTTCTTTATTTTTCCCATAAAGAACTTCTGGCTTTTAGTGTAGGCCCATGGTTATCAAGATTAGAATTCCCCTGGGGAACTTCTAAAGGATACCAACTCCAGGACCAAGCCCCAAGAGTACAAGGGCCCCTCCCCAGGCGGAGAGCCATAGATGGAGCTCTTTCACACTGTTTGTTTCCTCTCAGCTGTTTCTTTCAACTTTTTATTATGCGATTGTTCAAACTATAGAAAATTAGAGGGCATAGTAAAATGAACTCAGGATATACCCATCACTCAGTCTCAACAATTTTTCAGCTTTTGGCCAATCTTATTCCATCTATAAACCACACCTTCCTGTGTCCCCCTTCAAAGATTATTTTGGAGCAAATCCCAGGCAGCCTATCATGTCATCTATGACTGTTTCAGTGTGTGATGCTAAGATACACATACTCTTTGTTTTAGTCTGCTAGGGCTACCAAAACAAAATACCACAGTCTGGTGGCTTAAACTACAGAAATGTATTTTCTCGTAGTTCTGAAGGCTAGAAGTCCAA